AGCCGTTTTGCTTTAAATCGTGGAGTGTTTCGCTGTCGGAATCTGCCCTGCTCTCTGTTTCGCAGGACAGATAGGTAACGTCTGGGTTCTTGTTGTATGTGACTGATTCTTCTTTAGTCAGTCGTTGTTGTTCTTCTTGGAGAGATTTAAGGGCGTCCATCGCCTCATAAGTTAATTGCTCCAAGCTTTCTCCATCTTCATCCACGTCATCTCCGCTTTCAAAATCGTCCCAGAATGCGTCCCATTCTTTGCCTTCATATTCCGATGCTTCTTCTACTCCTCCTGTTTCATCGTCTGACAACTCTACTCCTCGGCATGGCATGCATATTTCATCGCTCATCGTCATGAATGCCATCTCTTCCGTTGTTTCTTGTGCTGTGTTCGCTCCTTCTACATTTCGTTGTTCCGCTTTGAGTTTTAGGCAATCCGATTTCCTGTGCCCAATCTTTCCACAGTGGAAGCACTTTCCGCTGAACTTCTTCTTTCCTTGAAATCCGCTACTGCTCCCATTGTTCCTGTTGAATACCGTTTGACTTTCCTTGGTACCTTTGTCCGTAGCTTCTTCCGTTCGAGCCTTTCTTGTCTGGGCAGTCTTGTTGCTTGTGTCCGATCTTCCCACAGTTCCTGCATCTGCCCTTGAATTGTTTTCCTCCAATCATGAAAGCTGTTTCGCCATTGTGGTCTGTCGACTTGTTCCGTGCTTTAATCTCATCGTAGATTTCGCATAAGTCATCCACCACACCCTTTACCGTTATTCCATGTCCTGTTGTCTTGATCCTTCGCAGAACATTCTTCTTCACTTCATGATACACTCCGAGTTCTCCTTCCTTCTTCGGCATCTTCTCGAGAAGGTCCTTGATGTACTCTTCGTCCGATATCTTGAACCCATCCTTCGCTAGCTTCTTGCGTTTCACGTCGAGTCCAATCTCGAACTTCTTTGGGTTTTCCTTGATGTCCATCTTTATCGCGTAGTATTCCGTTCGTCGAGCTGCTACCTCACCACTGTCTTCAGCATCGTAGAGGTCCAGCATGGACTCCCACATGCCCTTGAATTTCCCAGCAGCATGGTCAGTCGTTTGGTGTGAGGCCAGTAGGTCGAAGGCGACTTGCCCTTCGATGGTCTCCACATTGATCGAATCCAGCAGTATTCCAGCAGCCTTGCTGTTCTTCTTCTGCAGACTTTCGATCTTTTCTACTTCGTCGTCCGACAACTTGCCCGTACCTGTAGGGTTTTCCCAGTTGTCCGGTTTGATCTCCGTAGAGTCCTTCATTAGTTCTACGTACCCATACTTTGATAAATGGGCCATCATCTTGACCTTGTAGAACCTGAACTTCTCATCTTTCCCATCGAAGATGGGATACTTGCTCGACGATGATACCTCTACCTCCGTAGACATCTTTACTTACTTCTCAATTCTTCTCTTTTCTGTTTGACAACCTGGATCCAAGCTCACTCTTTCCTGATAGCTATCGTTTTAAAACGTGTTGAAAAGGTGTGAACTTGAACGCACAATTTCTCTAATTTAATCAATATCCTTCCAGCTCTACTGTCTAGTAGACTGGCTATTTGTTTCGTTTTCTCTTTCTCTCTCGTTCAGATTGTGAGCTCTACAACTGAGCTCCGATATGCATACATATACCAGGATCCTCTGTTTCTCGCAGTTTCATCTGCAGATAGATCTCGTCGATCTATCTTCCTGAAGTGCATGGTTGGCCCTGGAGGGCTTTCCCACTTTACTAAACCTATGGACCTTCATCCGTCCATTCATTTGTTCCATCCCGTCGCTCCTTGCATTCATCTCTTCGACCTAACTTCCTAACCTTTGTAGTTGCATCATCTAGACGACCATTGTCCTCGTTCCTCGTACACCTGGCCATCTGATGATGATCGGATAACCATCTGATTTGAGTCACACATCCCCAATCACGAACCGTGATTGTGGATCCCGAGTCGTCTGTCCTTCATACGAAAATACCTTTCTAACATTTCTTTTGGTAGTCTACTTCTATTAGGGTTATGGCTAAAAACTGTGACACACAAACCGACAAAGGGACAAACGGACAAACAGACAAACAGACAAACAGACAAACAGACAAACATCCAAACAAAATTCACAAGGGCCCTAACCAGTTATGGGCTATTTTTTCTTAAGTGTGCTACCGGTAAGTCTTAAGTCCCAAGAGCTGCAGCTCAGGGTGGTACTACCGGTACCTGGTACTCAGTACTAGTCCACTACACAGTGTATTTTCACTTTTGCTGACCTAAAACCTTATGTTTCCGTGTGCACCGTGCCACCACCTGAAGTACAAGATCAAGCTACAGTACCACAGGGAGAGGCCTGTCTTGAATTGGCCGTGTGGGCTCCGCGTGCATGTACACTGTATTTTGTATTCGTCTTGAAACCTGAAACAACAAGAAGGTCGAATTTTGCTGTTTGAGAGCTCGAGCACAAGGTACCTGGTACGGTACTAGTAGCGTACGGGTTGTGTTGCCAACGCCTATAAGTGGTAGTCTAGCTAGTTCTGTTTTATAGAAAAACTTGGAAGTCTATCCTTACAAGTAGGTCTGTTTCATTAAAAAGCAAATTGTAGTCTATCCTGCCTTACAGTGGGGTGGAGAAATCCAATGCCAGTCTCCATTCGGTGCAAGGTTAAATCGGAGGCATGAGGCCTGTCTTCTTTTAAAGATAAAAATGCCTAATCTGTTTTGTCTGAAACCACAAATAAGACTGTTCACCAGCCCCAGCTAGCTAGCTAGCTAGATCTCTAGAGCTTGAAAATACTGATGGCGTTGTCAACGCCTCTATCTCTAGCTAGCTAGTACCACTGGTACAGTATCGGTGGTTGTACCGGTACCTGCTACTTGGTTGCCACAAGCGGAACAGGGGGGTGGAGAAATTGCCCACCAACGTTTTGTAACGGGGGTGATTTGCCAACCACCTTTGTTGCCACTGTGGGTAAAACCGTACCGGTAGCGTTCACAACTGTAAGATCTGCTGTCTCTATCATACATGTACCTCTATCTATTATGAGTTTTTACCACTACCGTATCTTTGAGACAAGGGGAGATTGTGGCATGTCTCAATCACTGATTCACTGTTTACCGCTGTTTTCGTTTTTGGTGGCACTGATCATGATGAGAAAGCTTCAGCGCTGATTGGCAATTGATTTCTCCACCCCCCTGCGTATTCACGGAACACTCGGACACAAATAATTCTGTTGTCTTTCAACAGCCCCTAACTACAGTAGCTCTTTAATTAAGAGTAGTGGCAGCCGTTCACCTATCTCCCACCTTGCACAAAGTCGGGGACTTTGTGCGTTAATTGTGCACAAAGTCGGGGACTTTGTGCGTTAATCGTCCACAAAGTTGGGGACTTTGTGCCTTAATCGTGCAAAAAGTCGGGGACTTTGTGCCTTAATCGTGCAAAAAGTCGGGGACTTTGTGCTAAATCGGGCACAAAGTAGAGGACTTTGTGCGTTAATCGTGCACAAAGTCGGGGACTTTGTGCCTTAATCGTGCAAAAAGTCGGGGACTTTGTGCCTTAATCGTGCAAAAAGTCGGGGACTTTGTGCTAAGTCGTGCACAAAGTAGAGGACTTTGTGCGTTAATCGTGTACAAAGTCGGGGACTTTGTGCCTTAATCGTGCAAAAAGTCGGGGACTTTGTGACTTCGATTTTCCCGTGCCCCTGAACAAAGGATTTATCTGCGTCTTAGAAGCGCTGTCTGGGCGTCTGGACTTTATCTACATAGGTACTAGTACTGGTACCTGCTGTACTTGCGTAATTTGTCAAAGATGGGCTGCCATGCTGCCATTGATGAGTTGACAAAAGCATCTGCGGACAATCGAAAAGGAGCCAATTATTACAATTTTTTTTCTTCCCAACAGCCCAACAGAGAGGTTGAACGGTTGAACGTTACAGCAACTGCAATTTTTTGTGTGTCCGAGTATTCCGTAAAGACATGTGTCCAAGTATTCCGTAAAGACAAGAACGAGTATTCCGTAAAGACAAGTACGTAGCTTTTTATCAATGCACTCTTGTGTACCGGTAGGGAAGACGTGTTTGGCTTCAGCTGGTTCCTACCAGTAGCGTAGACCTGGTGTTCAATAGCTTGTTCAATGCATCCTGCGACGTGGAGCGGTTAGCCAGAGTAGTCTACATGTTGTTGTGTGATTGCGTGTGAAGGAAAGGCCGCCAGCCGCCAACCAACTGACTTTGGCACTCATCAGAGCCTGGAACCGGTATTACGGTATTACTATCATAGAGTACTCTTTACTATAGGAGGAGTCGTGCAGGAAGTCTTTCTTGACAAACTTACGGGGGTGAGGTAAAGAAAGTAGCGATCACTGAAACCTGCTCCAGCTCAGGTTCAGTACGGAGTGCCACATCATGGTGGATGGTGGTAACCATCCTGATGATGAGTGGCCACCAGTCACCAGTCTGATTTTGCGCTTCTATGAACTGCAGGAACACATTCAAATGGTTGTAACATTCCTCAGACGAAAGTTTAGCTTTGGCCTTGCATGATCAAAGCAGCATTAAACAGTACCAGGTACCGGTATGTCTTGCTAGCTAGCTAGAAGAGAACCACCACCTCTATCTTCAAAACTCACTACAGCAGCTCTCTTACCAAGAAAGTTCTAAGTTGGACATATTATGCACAGACTGGATGTTGCCAAGCTGAGGAGTTTCTTAGGTTGCCCTGGTTGGCAAGCAAAGTAATAATGAATACCCCAGATACCTTTCTGCTGGTTGGTGGTAAAACATGCGGTCATTTGGGAGGCTTCCGCCGAGCTTCTCCGAAAGTGGACACACGTGCTGGTAGCACAAGGCTTCATTCCATTGATTCTTCATTCGATCATTCCCTCCCATCTCGGTCCGCACGGAAGCAGCTCATAGCTTTTCCAGGTCCCTCTTTTTTTGCAATGTCAGCAGGTTGTGTGGCTGGCTAGCTAACAGCTCATACAAGGATTGCAACTACCCATGTATGCACAATCATGATGGCAGAAGAACCCATAATGGAAGACGTACTATCGGGGTCAAGAGCCGAGATCCCCATGGATGAAATGGATGAAGATCCCGTCGATCCGTCCATGACAATCTCGGAAGAAGAGCGGCGATGGGCGTTGGAAATCAAGCGAGCCGTGGAGGATAATGAGGAACTGACTAACTTGAGCGACATGACGTATGCTCATCATGCCATTGTTGCAAATGGAAATGTAGATGAGGCTCTGTGTCGTATCGAACGGCAACAAGTGTTTCGGGATCATTATAAAGTGGACCACAGCGTGGAACAGGGTGTGGAACTGCTCCAGGAGCTTATCCGGCAGCAACCAGGTTTCCTGCTAAACATTGACATTGAACTAATTCGACAAGAAGCCATCAACGCCGTTGATTGCGGTTGCTTCAATCCCAATGTCGCGTTGGACACGTCCTCGTCTGCCGGGTTTGGTGTGCACGACAATTGGAGGATCTTTTGCTGTGGGTACTATTACATCAAGTTCACCAGCCAACCCACACTGTCCGTGATTCGCAATGGAACCTTGGAGCTGGGTGATTTTGGAGGATATGGATGGTCCAACTTCTCCACCGAAGTTAACAGTCGATTGATGGAAGAAGTGGTAGCATGGTACCCCATGAAATGGAACGGGCTACTTCTCTACAATACAGGATCGGTTGCCAATGCCATTATTGCGTTGGCAAAGCCATTAATGGGCGAGACCATGAGGAATACCCTGCAGCTGGGGTGTCAGGTAGTGGAAGCGGATGGAAGCTGCAATCCCAATCGACGGCTACGAGAGTTCTACATGCAACCCAATGCGGAAGAAGCGGAGCGCAACATGCTGGAGCGGGCAAAACTCCTGCTCACGACGCGGCAAAACAACGAGGAAACCTTTCGACTGTGATACTGAATTGGTGACCACCTCCCAAGATAAGAATGATGCCCCTCCAGAGGTGCTGTGTGTGTTTGGACACACATTTTGGGTTTATAATATAGCAAAGAAACAAGTGAGACCAGCTTTTGTAACCGCTCTTCAGTCCTTACGAATTCTCTCATTGCTATCGCGTAGCGGTGCGCTTCCAATCGTACCGTAGGCCACAATATCTTTCTTCATTGTGTCATGGTATCGTAGAATAGAAACCTTGCTTGGCCGAAGACCCCGTCAAACGAGGAAGACTGTCAACTCTACAGCAATCGAGTTTTGCTCGGAATGATTCTCGTTCAATCAGTGCAGCTTTCGGTCGATTCGACAGATGCATGTTTTGGGCTACCGGTAGCCTCGGAGAGTTCCAGCTCGCACCACAAGCACCGTAGCTCCGAAGATCCCAAATAACTGGCCTTACTTCTCTCGTCTTTTCACATTCTCCCTTGCCAGCGATTCGATTCGATTCGATTCGATTCACGACCCCTGCAGATTTGACCCCCCTGAACGTAGTGGAATCCAATCAGAATCGAATCAGAGCTTTTGGCTCCCAGCATTGCCTAGTTACACAAAACGGTGCGGTATTAGGCAGCTTCGTGGCCAAAGAGGTTTGGGTCAAGCCAGAACGCGGAACCTTGAGCTGAGTTTGGCACTGTCTCCTGCCAAGCCAAGACGATACGAGATTTTGGAATGGAGCGAGACAGTCAAGGATCTGGCTAGCTAGACACTTGGTTTCCTCGTCGAAATTGAGGGTAGCATCGTACCCAATGAAATCCGGGTCAAGCATCGAACGGAGGACGAAAGTGCGTAGCCCTTGCGAGCTCTGCAACCAATTGGTTGGGTACCAGCCAGCAACATGACAGGTGTCGATGGTTAGTTCCTTGACTCAACGAGTGCCGTGCTAGGATTTGCTGAAGAGGAGAGGATCGTACGGTACCCACACGATTGGTGCAACCCGCCAGACGAACTGCAACTTGAACAAGTTCTGGTAGCCAGAAGAGGCCCACGCCACGTCGCCCCTTCTCGTTCATCGAGGGACGAAACAAAAACGAGCACAATCGAGCTGTTGTCGCCGTCGTTTGTTGTTCTCTTGTATAATTCGAGTGGGTGTTCGTGGCGGACAACGATGGACCGAACAAGTTTTTGTCGCGAGAGCTTTTCGTTGGTGTAGTAGCAACATTCAAACGCCCACTCGCAACAGATCAACCGCCTTCGTTTTCAAAATGTAATGCAACAAACATGATTTCCTACTTTTTCTGTTCTTTTTGTCTTTTTCTTTTTTGTTTGGTGGTTCTTCTATAAAAATGCAGTGGAAAGGGGTCGCTCCCCCTGTGATACGTACCCGATGCAGGGACAGAACGCCGCAAATGGAAGCACCGAATCGAATCGATAACCCTCGGTACATGTACATGAATGGTTCATTTTATTTCTCCGGTATTGTCTCGTCATCGATCGACCCGTGGACTGCTCCTCCGCGTCGTTTCCATCCTCCTCCTCCTTCAAATCCTACAACTCCTCTCGTTTTTGGTTGGTTCGTTTTCGTTTCATTTCGAAAAAAGAAAACATGCAGATTCGAAAGTGTTGCTACTCCAGATAGGCATCAAAGGAAACTTGTTCCCCAAACTTTGCTTGCACGTGATAATCAATGAAATTATCCTTGTTGCGCGCATCGTAAATTCGAAAGTGATGTTTGGGATACGTCGATTCGTTGAAGGAAGACCCTCGTGCAATAAAGGCAATCTTGTTTTCTCCGCCATCCGGTCTTTGCCAATAGAGCATGGCATCCTTACTTTTGGCATGAAAGGTGACGAAAGTGTTGATATCCTTTTCGAGATCTTCTCCACTGAGAAAAGCCTCCATGCAATGAGCTACCGTTTCCACTTGGGCATGGGTCATTTGCGGCATGGCGGCCAGCGTGACACCGGAATACTCTTGCAATTCGGACAATCGTTCTGGTCCGGGCACAATGGAAACGCCCTGTTGTACGAGCCACGTATACACCACTTGGGTGGGTGTAATTTCGTCTTGTGAGAGTGTCGGTGCAGCGTCTTCAATCAAGTCTTCGGCGACCTTGAGCAAATGATGATGGGCGTTGCGTGCACGGGAGGGATCGGCGAGAATGCCATCAATGGAATCGACAATTTGTAAATGAATGCCACGTTGGGTACAATAATCGACGAGATGAGGATCGTAGAGCAAACTCCAGATACTGACTTGTAGCATGTGCGGATGAACTTGTAAATCTTTCTGACTATCCATATCTTGCAAATCTTTCAAATGAAAGTTGGCAACACCAATGGATGCAATGGGAGTGGGAGACGCGTCACCAGCGAGATAAATTTCTTCCAATGCCTTCCAAGATCCCTTCCATGCATTGTCCTTGTCCTGATGAGGTGGTGGTCCTGCCTGTTGGACGTGTTCTCCAACGTTTGCCTCATCGAGTTCGCAATTCATCCAATCTATGGTTTCGTAACATCGTGGCCATTGCAACAACATGTGTACCTTGAGTTGTACTTGTCCTTGTACCGTACTACTGTCGGTTAGTGCCGCTTGCAATCGTTCGTAGGATTCTTTGACGGACAATTTGGTTCGTTCGTATCCCAAATGCGTGTACCAGACTTTGGTAATAACGTGCAACTCGACGTGTTCCTCCGGTAACAAATTCATGCGTTGAAGACCCTGTTGAATTCCATTCGCTAGCAGTGCTTCGTTGCCCGTGACATGAGCGGTATCAAACAACCATGTTTTCTTGTCGCGTTGCAACGCACTGGCCGTCATGAGTGGCACGAGAAAGGGTTGCAGATATTCAACACCCAATCCCACCAATGGCATGACTTGGTCATCGTGCAGATGCACCATGGGAATGCCAGATTCGTCTCCCACGGATACTTTGGAAAGACCAAATCCTTCGGCTGTCAACGGAATACTGTCATCGTCGGTCGTCGTTTTGCCACTATTGTTGTTGCGCTGCTGGGCGTTCTTCTTATTGTTACAAGCGTCGCCTTGACATTCCTTATCCTTGTTCTTGTTCTTATTCTTATCCCCCCAAAGCCATCCCGACGCAGATGGTAGCGTCAGAAATAACACGGCAAACACAAGCACAGATGATAACCTCATTTTCTTCTTCTTTCTTCTTTGTTGTAGTATTGTTGTTGTTAGTATAAAGGTGGTCTTCACAGTCAGTCAGTCGGCAAAGCTACCACGGACGGTCACTGACAAACAGAAATAGTAAAAGCACAGAAATCTGTAGCAAAAATCAGTGGTGGGAGATAAATGATACCCCTCTTTTCTATTCCTTCGACTTGAGAACGCCTCCCCACACAAAGATACTCTAGTGCAAGCGGTAGATCTCGGCGGTTGCTGTATGTTGTAAGGCCTTCCTAGTCTAGTTTTAGTTGCGAAGCCAACTGATTATTATTTGTGTGGTGACTGCAGCTCTTTCAAAAGACTTTTAGAATGAGGTTAGGTTGACGCCGTTGCTGTGAGCTGTGGTTGTTGACCTCGGTGAAAACTTCCAAAATGACCAAGAGCTTGACCATGGCGGCAACCAACTACAGTACGGTATCTTACGTAGTAAAGAGACACGTAAAATTTCCCCGCGGAAGTTGTACCGATGGATGTTCTGAAAGTCATAATGACCTTTGATGTCAGAAGATCTTTATACTTGCTCGTTGGTCGTATTATTCTTTACTTCCCCGTCATAATGCCAGTGATGCACCAACCGTACCAGTGACTACGTATATACTATCTCTATCCTTAATTCTGGACCGAAAGATCCGATCCGCTGGCACCGAAAGATGAAGACCGAAAGGCGAAACCACAAATGCAACCTCAAGTGTTGCTGTGACAGGAAAAGCAAACTAAAACATGTTGGCAAGAGGAAACCAAACAGCGAAAGATTCAACAATCGTGGCGACGCCGGAGAGGGAATAGCCTTGGATCAACAGGAGGAAGTCAAGTCCACCCCACCACAGATTCGATTCAACCGGAACAAATGATTCCACGCACCACCATGGGTACGGGATCCATCCTTGTGACCGGTATGGATAACCCGACTCTAATAATGCAGCAATGCAGCTCACAGAACCGACCAAGACCACCAGTAAAGTGGGCACTGATGATTTTAAAATGATACTCCATTTACTGGATAAATCACTTTTGCATACCAAGCTACTAGCCACAGTACTCCACCAGAAAGTGGCTGAGAAGGACTAGTCTTTTCCAACTACCATCTCCCCTGAAGATTGGATCCCCCTTGAGAAGCAGTCACGTAGAATCTTGGATATAGCTTGATGAAGTTTTGGCAATGCTCTCCTAGTTTCCATAATATAATATAGTAGGTCTTGCCGAAAGCCTTGTAGACGAAGGGCACTCTCCACAACTGCTTCAACATCTCGCTCCATGGGGGGTGGGGGTGGCCAGGGTGTGCACACATGTGAAGTCTGAGGACATTGGATTTTAAAATATCATGGCTTTTCTTCAAGGGAGGTGATGTTACTGCCTGTTTTGGAACAATCTTGAGGCCATACTGCACCACCGGTACCGTATGTATCTAGTAGCTCGTTGCCCTTATAAAGAAGTGTGGTAATGGAGTCTTGGTTTGGCAGGGCCAGGTCCAGCTTAGATTTTTGCATCGCTCGTCCGTCCTCCACTTTTCCATTCTCTGGTACGGTAGTCGGCAATTAACTCTCAGGGCAGGCTGCAGCTTTTGGATGGCTGTTTTCGGGGAGCTTTTTGCACCTAAACGACTCAACTAAAGATTCACGGTCGAGATCGCATTGATGGAAGATTGAAGAGGGAAGGGGGCTATAGTTTACTAGTTCACTCATGCTATGAGAAAGAATGTGTCACATGTAGTATACAAACGGGCTGGGAACGATCAGAGTTCAATCTTCCTCCACACCAATGCCGGTTGTGCATATTATTATGAATGGAGACCTTGCCCGCCTGCAAACATGCAAGCTTGTCAAATCATCACCCCTACAGACTTCCACAGCCTGTAGTAGAGTATAACATCTTGGTGTCAAGGTCCGGTCGAGACTGGATCTCACGCTTCATTGCCTTCAAGAAGGAATCTTTGGTCGGTTTCAATCTTCTTCCAAACATATCGTCCTCGGACAGCCTCTGCGTTGGACGATTCCGATACCAAGATCAGGATGGCCAATCCGTACAAAACATTGTTGAAGATACTCATCGTGCCAAAAGCTGATGGGGAGATTGTCAAGTCTGCTTTGATAAAGCAAAGAAGACAGGGTGGTCCAGTGAGCTACAGCAATGCAACAACGAGACAGCAAAACTCTAAACACCATGCACCGATAGCGACGATACTTACCGTGTCCAACCAAAAAGTGAGAGGTTAGCTAGCTAGCTAGCCAGCCAAGAATAGAAGATGAAACAGGAGGGAGAAAGATTGAGAAGAGTCCTTTTGTCCGATGATGCCAAAAGATCGAAACCAAGCCATGAACATGAAGACCAAAAAGATACTGCCGTAAAGCTCGTAAGCTCTGCCGATCGACGACGCAGTTTGGAAGGCTTCGCATCCAGTGCGTTCTTTGGTTTTTATCAATTTGTTCTCTCTTACAGAACACGTCATGAAAAGATTCCCTTCCGAACAGGGGAACCACTGCGGTACCGTACTATTATAGTACGGTACAGCAATGGCAGCGTGAATTACATGTACATGTACTCCACACAAAAATTCCCAGTGCAAGTGCAGAGAGGCTCGGTTGCGGAAAAGCAGGACGATAACCACACTGCTTGCTTGAAAATAGGATTCTCAAGAGGCACCACTTCTGTTCGCTGGATCCAGGCAGAGGATGGTCGCGTTCTCAAATCTGGATAAACTGCCGATACGGGCACCACACAGGTGCCTGCCAAGGCGAGGCATTCGAAGCACTCCGTGGCCGGAGCTGGCTGCTAGCTACTTAGTAGGCTACTAGCGTCGAGCTAGTAGCGAGATCGGAGATCTTGGTACCATCTTCAACTCTCCAACAGGCCAAACAGATGGCGAGGGTCGGCAAAGATCGCTTCATGCCATCACGGATCAAGATCAAAACCCGTCTGTAGGCCTTGACCTTGCTTTGTCTTAACTAATAAGGATGTTCTTCCCATCCCATACCTCAAGGAATCCAATTAGCACAGGGCCTTAGCGTGCCCTCCCCAGAACACAACAACCCTTCCACATCATGGAAAATCTTTAGCATACTGTAGGGGGCCTTAGCATGCCCTCAACCCTTCTACTCGAACAGGTGGCCAGAAGTGCCCCCTGTCATTCTGAGTGAAGTAAAAGCAAGCCCTCGGCCCAGTAGCAAATAATTACTACTAATCTTTGTGATCAATCAATCGATGTTCTTCCGATCCCAACGACCAAGCAAGCTTGAGAACCGTCTGCAGCTGGAGCTACTTCTGTTGCCCGTCGCAATGGCAGTGAAAAGGACACACGTTGCAGTGCGCGGACTTCAAGGAATCTGGCATTGCAGCTCTTCTTCGGCAGCCTGCTTGCTGGCTCCAAGAGGTTCTGATGAAGGCTTGCTTCCCCCAATCCTCCTTGGCTGCTACTTGTAGTGTGCCACTGAAGCCAGTCCTGAACCCTATTGAGGAGCACCTTCATGAAGCCATTTTGGAACTGCACTCACCTTTCACGAGGAATGAGAACAAAGAAGCAGACAAGACCGTGCTAGAATGAGCCACAGGTGCAGACCCAAGCCCAAGTATTCCTCCTTTGTTGCAGGTTGATGATTGAGTTGTTGGACCCTACTAACTAAAACACTCCACTCTTCCCAGGGAACAATTAAGCTGCAACAGATCCCAGCCTGTTGGACATGAGCCAAAACTAGACTCCAGCTCATAATTCATCATCATTCCTAGTGTCTTTCTAGACTTCGAACTCTCCCCTTGACTTAGAATGAGCCACAAAGGCAACCCCCGAACTGGCTGAGGATGAGCCGCATTGGAAACCCTATCCCAACGTCTTCAATCCTTCTAAAGTTGAGGCTGATTGACTGGTTCTGAGCATGCACCTCGCCCCCCTTCCTGCATCCGTCTGGATGCACGTTTTCTCCTTTGGCTCATAGTCCAGGCCCTTGCTTCAAAAGCAAAAACCATCAACTTACTAGTTGATTCAAAAGCCAAGAGGCAAGCAGCTCGAGCTGGTAGGGATGCCTGGCTACTGGTAGTGTTATGTATCCAACGTTATGGAGAATCACATGGCGCGTCTGCCGTTGGAACCAACCAGGTGTGCACCCAGGGAAGCAAATCAAGTTGCCAAGCCATGCACCATAAAAGACGCACCTTGCTTGGTTACCTGCCCTTTGTTCTGTTCACCTGGCGTCCATCCAAACCAGGTTGTCTCTATCTAGCTATGACTGCTACCAGTGGAATCAATCCATAAGATCCATCTTTCCCACCCGATCCCACCGTATTTGAATCAACCAATAAACTGGCATTCCCCTCTCCAAAAGAAAGTTCGTTGGTTTTCGCTGGCTGAAGCTTCTCATGCGAGCCGTCCTCATCAACAGTAACGCTCCCAGTCTCTGGAAATAGTTACTGGCTGGAGGTATGATACTGCATGCCTTGCTTCTTCACCTCTAGCTAACTGGCTAGCAAGATCTCCTCCTCTCAAAGAGTGCTGATCTTGGAACAAAAATGTCACCGCAAAAATGTGATCCCAGCAATGTACCGTAGGTATCGTACTGGTCCGTGCCATTGCCAAAGAAACATTTCCATTAAATAAGCTTTAAATACCGTTACGCTGAACGAACACCAAATGCAGAAGGGGAGTTCGTTCAATTAATTAGAATTGGGCAGACAGTAAACATGATAAACTGTTACTACAGTGAATGCCCAGTGAAAACTATCCAGGAGTACTACTCTGGAGTGTTAAATCCTGAATGACCATTATTGAAATATTCCTCCTCTATCTGTCACTCACTTTACATTGAAAGAGTCACTCAGTATGTCACCGTAGATCTCCCTTCGCGTTTCCGGCCACCATCGCTCACAATTTCTCACTCGAGCTCTCACTGTGCCTTCAGCTGCATTTGCTAGCTTGCATCCATACCGGTAGGCTGCAACCATAGATTGATTGTTGTTGCACCTCAGCTAACTTCCATTCTCCTTCCAAGCGACACCATAATCCCATCGATCTCGACAACATGGTTATCAAAACGCCCCAGCCGCTATCACCTACATCCGAAGACGCAAAACCCACCAAGCAGCCACCAAACGAGCAGAAGGACTTGGGTTCCTCTTGGGCTGCCCTTTCAACTACCGGTACCGACAATAAAGAAGGTGAGAAGACAATTGCCGAAGGGTTGGCTGCTTGCCCCGAAGAGTCCATTGAAGAAGGCACCGGTGCACATCAAGACCCCGAAGACGAAGGCTTATCCGTTCAACAGCTTCAGGAGGCAGCAAAAGATGCGCAAAGGCGCCCCAAGCAGAAGCGTGCATCCTTTCTGTTGCCAGATGATCATTCTCCAGGTGCGCGTAGGTCACAACCCAAGCGTGGGTCGCTCTTAGAGAGAAGCAAGCAATTCCAGGACAAGCTTGTAAAGTTCATGTCGGACTACAGCAACTACAATGATGTAGAGGATATTGAAATGGAAGACAACAGCCTTGGAGAGAGTGGCAACAAGTTTCCCACTCGAGAACGGGACTTGCGTCATGTAGATCAGCGTGTCAACTTGATGGATGCCTCATCAAAGCGCCATGACTTTTATGATGAAAATGAAGAAGAAGACGAAGAGGGTGCGTACTACGATGACGAAGATGAGGATGTCTACGCCAACTACACGCAAGGCTACTCTGGTCATGACTCCAAGTCCGGTCAGATCCAACGAAACCCGCCCATTCCACCCAAAAAGGCACCCAGCGGTCATGCACCATGGGACGACCATCACCCTGCCAAGAAGCCAGCAACTTGCTGGGAGCAAAACTACCATTGCATCCGCTGGACTTTGTTGATCCTGCTCATGCTGGCCACTGCCACCTGGCTGCTGATGAGTCTCGAGTTCTTCAGGCCACAGACGACCGTTGTTGCTCATGGCCATGCTGGGCCGTCATCGCCAATGGCATCCGCTGCGCATCCATCTGGTCCTCAGACGAACGCAGGAGAAGTATACCTGCGCAAACACGACCTGGAAGGAATCGTTCAAAAGCATTTGCTTCCCCAGGCTGGCAACAACCCCGACTTGTTGAACATGCACAGTCCCTATGCACAAAAGACCATCACGTGGATGACAGCGTACGACAAAAAGTCCATGAAGATGTTGGACGAGTACCACAAGGTTGCTGGTACTGGTGGACCAAAAGAGGTTAGCGAAACCGAGGCATACACGGACGGGGAGGAACGAGTAACTGAGAAAGTGGACTTTGATGATCCAGCCCATCACGTGAGATCCAAGATAATTGACCGCTACGTTGAAGGCCTCTCCTACTTCAAAAACCATCCTGATAGTGATGCCGATGCTGCACATGTCTAAGGCATGCGGAAAGGAAGCCGGGAGCAACTAGAGTGAACGCAGAGACAAGAACAACGAGAGATTTCCTTGAACAACCAAAGAATAGAAAGATAGTATACGTAGTAGCCTAATCGTCATAAGTGTATTGCATCTGATACACCGGTGCAAAGGTAAGGTAAGGAGCAGTACCAATCAGGGCTCGTGATGATAATATATAAACTTATAGACCTTACAGAAGAATAGAATATGATAAAACGAAACCTTGTTCACCACTGTCAAACTAGATCCAAAACCCAAGGCAGTAGAGCTTGTTCGCTACAACATGATCAACATGCCTGTGAGCCCAACCACTACCATTGAAATTCTGGTAACCATGGCAGAGCTTGCTTCATCCGAACCTTCGAATTGCGCCGCCGCTGCGTAAGCATCAGCGGGGGCTTTCGGTTTTTGATCGTCACTCCCTTGCTTGTTCGAGATGCGCCCGACTTTTGAGGCGGCGACTTCAGTATCTTGTTCGAAACCAGGTTCAAGCACGGGGGGTTCATTCTCGCCATCACCTGGCTGTTGAGAGCCGCCGGTCGTAATGTCAAGCTCGGGATCATTCTCGCCATCGTCTGGTCGTTCAGAGCCGCCGAGGATAGTAATGTCAAGCTCGGGGTCATTCTCGCCATCAAAGGGAATGGCGTTGGGGTTTTCTTCACCGTCGATGTCGATGTCTTCAATTTCTGGGAAAGGGACTTCTTCCGTGTAGTTTGCTGTTACGTTGACAATGTGTTCGATTTCCTCCGGTATGCAAGGAGACAAGGTCATGACAAAGCTAGCTCTTTGCTCATGGAATGAAAACAAATTGTCAAAACCATATGCCACCACGAACCGGTTTGTTCCATTGCCATTGATTGTGGCTTCGCCTTCCTCTTCCAGGTACTTTGTAAACGACAATACCGTATGTGTCTCGTTCTGTGTGATACTTTCGTCCAACAGAGTTTGCTTGTCGATAAGGGAAACAAACTCTTCCGAGTGACCTCCGAGATAGTATTTGCCCGGGTTCAGTAGCAAGTTGTCTCCTGAGCCAGCAGTGCCAATGACGACATTGGATCCGTTCATTCCGCCATTGGGAGAAATGCCAAAACCAAGCCATCCCTGACCCTCGTAGACAACTTGGGCTGACAGAGTCGACATGGAACTGTCTGCTTCATCAATGTTGACAACGTGGTGGATGACGACTGGCAACTCTGGCACTTGGAACGTCTTTTGGTATCCGGAACAATCGATAGGCGCGGGAGCTCCCGATGGGGCAGCACTTGGCCTCAGACTCGGCATGCTACTGGGTGCAAAACTTGGTACAGTTGATGGAGTCATGCTAGGTGCTTGCGATGGAGTGGCACTGGGTGCAGAGCTGGGAGATCTGGTAGGTGCTAGTGAAGGAGCCCCAGAGGGTGACAGACTGCGGCGTGTGGTTGGTGCCGGAGTGGGCGCTCTAATCGTTGGTGTACCAGTGGGAGCACGAGTGGGAGATGCTGATGGAGATTCCGTGTAGAATGCTGCACACTCCTCACCCCTAACAGCAAGGCGAACTTTGTTGATTTCAAGAATTTGGGGATTCGTCCTGACGACTGTACCTTCCACTTCAGCGCGAAAGCCCACGCTAGTAGACCCTCCTGAACAGGATGCACAATCTCCAACACTTCGTGCGAGATCGATCAAAGGCTGGTTGTCCGTGACTCCCCAGCCTGGACGAAACAGAGGCTCGGCGTTTCCTGGGGCTTCAAGAATGTGAAACGTGCTACTAATTGCCTCGGGAAGGTCGACAAGGCTGGATACGGCGTAGAGATTCGGCCCCTCTAGAGCCTTGACATCCGGACGGGTCACGAGAAAGCCATCCTGAATGCGATATGCGTCCATAACATATCCTGCCCTGCAAATGACTTTTCCTGGTGAAATGTTTTCTTCGTCCAACCATAATGGTGCTTCAGTGTTTTCTTCTAGAGACAATGCTGGAAGCGAAAGGGCAAGCACGGAGGCGATCGCCACAAAGACTTTTGTCGTTGTCATCTTATTAAACTGACTTTGTTGCTCTGAGTATCTCAGTTTTGGGTTTGTGAGCTTCGGTTAACCTTCAACAGGGGCGCTTTCTTTCTCACGAATGATGCTTCCCCAAATTTCACTGGCTCTTGTATCGGATCTTTTGAGGACTCCCACTAAATCAGGCTGACGTGCGTGCAAGAATGATTTTTGTCCACCGTTCAAGGTTTTGCAAAGCTCGAACCACGGCTAAGCTGAAAGCTGTTCTCCCTGTGTGGCTTTGTATAACTCTGGCTATCGGCAGCTCTAGCTACCAGTAGTTAGATGCACAGGATTTCTGGAATCTGGACAGGATCTGGAAAAACAAGAGTTCCCATTGGATCTTGTGGGCATGATCCATAACTTTGTGGGACTTCGAAAACTGCTTCCAATGATCAGAGAAGTTTCGTATGGCTTGTTATCTCGAAGGAAGCCGAGCTAAAACAAGTGGCCATTTGTATTTGCTCTAGTAGCGGTAGGGTCGCCATGTCAAGAAAGAGGCCGAGACGCGAAGGGTGGTGGCAACAAGCTGTCGATTGGGTGAATAGCAAAGGTGGCAATGTGCACGAATCTGTGAGGATGTCAGACGACAGGGAGCTGTACCTGGAGACAAGTCAACAGGGAAAAACGGAGATTATGAGAATCCCCTTTGCATGCCTTGTGTCGAAGAAATCAATTGAGTCCACAGCTTTTGGTAAACAGATCGTGGAGTGCGTCGGAAAGGTGGATTCGGACAAGTTCCATTCCCAAGTCTTTGATATTGTCATTGCGTTGTACTTGGCAAACTATTCGGCAACAAGTGTGGGGGGTAACAAAGAAGTGGATGACACACCATTTCGACCTTACTTAGAGACTCTACCGGAGAGTTCCTCATATGACGGTCTACCAAGGCTGTGGCTCGATGATGATTTGAAAAATCTCCAGGGATCGCCGCTGCTACAAAGGGTCAATGATCAAAAGAAAGGAATACGGAATGACTACAATTTAGCTCTTGAGGAATGGAAACAATCGAGCAAGTTTCCTTCGTTTGAAGCTTTCAGCTACAGCCTAGCCGCCGTGACGTCCAGAGCCTTTGCAGGTTTCGGTTCCCCTGAAGCAAACAAAGAGAGTGATGACATGAACGTGGCAATGGTGCCTCTTCTGGATCTCTGCAACCATTGTCGAGGAAAGAATGAAACAAAGAACCTCTCTTACGAACGTGGAATGGATTCGAACATGGGCTCCGTGATTGTTGTTACCGCTAGCCGGAACATTGAAACCGGCGAAAAGCTGCGGATTACATATGGCGCAAGATCCAATGCGCAATTGCTGTACAACTACGGATTCTGCATTCCTGACAACATTGAGCCAGATGGAAGTGCCAATGACTTTCTTGAAGTATCAGTGGGCAAATCTACTGAGACCAATACGACGGTGAAGCTCCAAGCCGGTCCAAAAGGTATGCCAAAGCTTTCCCTTCCGATACTGTGGCCCAAGAGCGGCTTTTAGGTTTGCATTTGGCTCCTTTGCACTGTCTTTTATTTCACACCGTCATCGTTCACTCGTCTTTGATAAAATTGAATGCAGCTTATTCGTTTCATGGGTTTATCAATGCTCTCGATAGCTTTATCGAAGCCCCTACTGTGGCTCGTGAAAAAGAGGAGGGGGGAGAGGACGATTTTGACGCGAACGAGAAAGAGTTTGAACGGTGGGACATGGACTTGATGGCATCCTCGGGCGACGGGGAAGAAGACGAGGACGAACAAGCTGAAATCGAAGACATGAAAAAGCAGGAAGAGCAGGCTGTTGACCGCTATTTGAAGGCATTGGTATCCTTTGAAAATCGCATGCAAGAACTCCGTTCTGCCTACCATTTGAAGGGAAAGGAGCTCGTCGATGCCTTGAACGCTCCTCTAGCTGATCCAAACAAACGACATGCTGTTCTGCTGATCCAATCAGAGCAAAGGACAATCTACTTCGTGCTCTGCGTGATCCATCGACTGCATAGCTTGCTGAGGAAGACTGGCGAAAGTACCGGTAGAACAATCACAGCCCCCGATGGTTCCTTGGTCGGCTCAGACGAAGACAAGAAGATCCTGGAGGATCAGGCAAAGGAGGTGTCATCCGCTTTCTTATCAATCCGTCTCCCTGGATGGAAGGAGGCGCATCTCTAGGTCTACTGCTGTGTGCCATACGAGCGAACACACCGCAGTCCATGATACTCTGCGCAGGCGCGGTTTGATTCGAGATTTCTACGTACATGTACCAAGCGAACTTCGGGAAAGGCGGGTTTGATGAGGAACTGGTGTGGTTTTATTCTAGCTAGTCTATTATAAGTGTTACCATCCTAGCGCCCTCGCTCCGTCTCCTCCTAATCATCCAGTGTCCACACAAGATTTGAAGCAACGTTGACAGCAAAATCCACTGTGGCATCCGGATGTTGATTGAAAGCCGCTTCAGCGGCAGCGAACGCCCGAGCGGCCGACGGTGCAATTTCTTTTAGTCGATCAGCCACTTTGTTCACCTTTTCCTCCTTTCCACCAACTGTTTCCAGTACCGACCTCCCGCTTTTCGCGTTCCGGCTGCGTCTCGGACTTCTTTCTTTGTCCTCGGTATCATTTCGACCTTTGCCGGCAGTTCTGGGCTTCTTCGGCTCAGTTTCCAATTTCTTCTCAGAAGAAGAATCGTCATCTGAGATTTTATTGGATTCCTTGATGTCGGCTGGCACCTTTTCAACGACGGGTTCTTCCACTACCGGCACATCGCCTTTTCTAGCTTCCTCCTCGTCCGCGCCAGTTTCCCCCTCGTCCGCAACCCCATCCTTGTCCACAGTTGTGGTGGCTGTCGTCAAGGTACCGGTACAGGCGGTCGATTCTTCGGTTGTCGTAGTAACCGTTGTGGCGGAGCTGCGAAACGAGGACAGCAGGGTGCCACGAAAACCTCTCTCGGCTGCTTTCCCTTTTCCCTTTTTGCCGCCATTCTCTTCTTCTTTCTCTTCAGACATTGCGTTGGACATCTCCAGGCAAGCATCCATTAGAGTCGCTTGCGGGATGCTTGAACTGGGATCGTCTTGTCGAAGGAGTACCAGACACTTGTTGGGCTCGACGATTTTATCGGCGCTCGCGCCTTCTGCCCACTTCTCATAAACGTCCTGCAGCACTTGATCATTCTTATCGAACAGAAGTTCTGGCAGAGGACGCGGACGTTGTCGTTCTCCGTTATTCTCAAATCTCTCCTGTGCAACGACCAAAACCAACTTCTGATCGAGAGGGAAATTGTCGATCACCTGCATGAGAAAAGTTCGCACCGCTGCCAAATTGTGATGCCAACCCACGTCAATGACATCTTTCTGAAGAATGGACTTGAAAGGGAACTTGCTTCGCCGATTTCTTGTTGACCGGCGCGGTGCAAAACTATCCTCAACAGGTGCATTGTCCATGCCAGGCCAAACCTGTGCTTCCAACAAGTCAGACACAGCATCATCGATGGCATGATCCGCTTTCACTTCGAAAACTTGACAGCTGAAAGTCGAACTACCCTTCTCGTCCTTCTCATCTTCAGAAATGACAATTGTGTCCGGCTCTGGAGTTTTTTGAGGTGTGGCGGGGAAATCGACGGGTTGGAATTCTTGACAGCACCCCTCTTCCAAGCAGAGACGTGGTGACACTAGCAGAGAAACGAGTGCGCTGGCCACCGAAATCTTAATGACTGTGCCTTCGTCTTGACCATCCTTATCCTTGGACGGTTTGTCATCGGCTGCCACCACTCTTACAGTGGGAGGCTGGTCGTCATCATCATCGCACAGATCAATCGTCCCGGCCTTGTGGGTTGGTGCCTCGCCATTGTCGGTCGTTGACGCCAAAACCTTGCAGAGGTTCGCGATGGATTCCTTGAAATTTTCGTACTGGGTCTTCTCCATCAATTTGATCCCTTTCAGTTGCCAGGTGTCATCGGTATCTTCGACCTGATCTAACGGTGAACCGCCAGGCTCTGAACTTACAGCTTCGAAGATCGGCAAGGTGGAGCTATGCCGGATGCACTTGAGTCGGCTCAAAAAACCACCCTCTAATGGTGCCGTTTGAAATCTGGGCCAATGTGGTACTCGCTCGACAAGCAGTTCCTCCAATTTGCTTTGGATTTTCTTAGCATCAAGCTTCTTCTGCCTGCCCCTTTCGACTTGCTGCATCAACTGGCGCCACAGGGAGATGTCTTGAACTGATACGGGCACGTACTCTTCCCCCTGAATATCTGCCAGCGTGATTTCGTTCGTGATAAGACCCCCAAACTTATTCAGCGTTGCATCCGTCCTGGCATCTCTGAAGAGGTCTCCGAGCTCCGCATCGCCTCTCCGTTTCCCATCATCGAACCACTGCCGCAGTCCCTGGTCGAATTTGTCTTTGTCGCGTTTCTCCCGCTTACAAAGGCTACAGCCTTTTCTGGCATCTTCCCCTGCGTCCTTCCCATTAAGGATAATTTTGTGTTCAATGGCATCGGGCAAGATTTTCAAGATATCATCCCACAAAGCAGGCCTCACCCACCTCACCTTTCCCTTGCTGCCGGCGGCAGCGAGCATGGTGTTTCCATGCGAGCACGTGATCTCTTCGTTGATGCGAGAATCCAAACCGGAAGTGATGGTTAATGAATCTGGGCTGAACACGGAAAGGTCGAGAGCATAAAGACCCTCCGATAGCGAAGAGGCAGTCGAAGCATGGTTTGATGCTTCGTCGCTCCTTTTGTCACTGTCGACGTCAATAGTCAAAGTATTCGATCGAGGTGACTTCGAAGTGGTTGCCGTTTGATTCGCGAGGGCCTTGAAGAGACCGGATTCGATAGATTTGCGCAATTTGGTCATATTCGTCTTCATGACGACGAACGCAAATTCAGATGACTCTTCATCATCGGAGGAGTCATCATCCTCCCATATGTCGCGGATTGCAACGTCTTCATCTGTATCCTTGATCTGCTCATAGACTCGTTTCAAAATTTGCACACGGTCAAGCTGCTCTCGCAGACGCTCCTGGTAGGACTTGGAACATTCTTCGCACTGCATGTTTGTTGTGGGGGTGATCACACAGTCGTTCACTTCAACAAGATTCGTTGCTTTAGGGCTTTCCGCATCATACTCTTCGTCCCTCACATCTATCAAGTAATGTCGATGTTCCTTTTCAAGAAGTCGAATGTAGCTGTCGTACATGTACCGAGGAAGAAGCTTGCCTTTCCGTGCGATCCGTGGGTCTAAGCCGGGATTGTCATGGTTGCAGAGAAGATGTTTGTGGCGGAGCAGTGACTCTCCAGCAGGCATCCCAAAAATGTCTTCCAACCGGTCGGTGCCAGAAACAAATCTTTGAAAGAGTTCCGCACTTACCCACACCGGAGGCGCCTTCTCGCTAGGCTTCGCCGGCAGTAAAAACAACTCCTTCTTCAGGTTATTCTTGCGCTTCTGGAGACGACGAAACGCTTTCTGCTCTTTCATGCACATATCAAAAAGCTCTCCGTAGTGGTCGTTACGTCCCGCAGCAACGGACTGGATGAAATCACCGGGAGCGGGTGTCATTTCCTCCTTTGTGATCTGAATCAGTCGGTGTTGCTGAGATTCGAGCTCTTGAAACCTTTGAACCGCAGTCTTGGCCAGATATGAAGCCTCAACGTAGTACATGTTGTACGCATCTGCGAGCATGGGAAGAAAGAACAGAAAGGACCATTGTGAGTTTCCGTGAAATCAAACATTGGTTGCTAGATTGCCTTCGCAGGAGGCAAACAACCCAACGAATGTCACTGCAAGGAGGACAGCTCAAGAGCACGTACCTGAACTTCCGGTCAACTTGGGTCCCTTTGGTCTTTTGCTGGGTCCATCATCGTCGTCTGTGTCTTCCGGAAGATCTGACGGATCGTAGCTGCAGGTTGGTCCCTTCTCGAGCAACTTTACCTCTTCGTCATTGAATTCATACCATTGACCACTGAGGAAGTCTTGTACTTCCGCTACGTAATGACCTCGGTAGGCCGAGTTTCCATGGTGTTTCATTACGGCACACAAGACATATTCCTTATTGTCGATCCTTTCACCGACAGCGTCCGAGACTTTCACTGGCACCCGTAGCTTTCGTGGCAAGAGCACCTCCTTTGTCAACTTTTTCTTGGTCAAAGTCTTCATATCAAAGACATAGCGAGACAACTGAAAGTTGAGAACAGGTGGCAATTCCCCCAACTTGGTTTCGCGTGTAGCATCTCGTTTGCATCCACACGTCCCGCAAAAGTATTGGTTGTCCCCCGTGAACTCTTCGGTAGATAAATAGTTCTTCAAGCAATATTCCAGGTCTGTATCCGCAGAGCAATTCGAATAGCCAAAGAAATCCATTATTGTCTTTGTGGTTCTGCCAATAAGGCCTTTTGGTTTCTTTTCGTAGTCGACAATCGCCAGAGTCAAATCCATAAACTTTTCTTTCCGTATCGATACTCGTTTGCATGTCAGACACGTCGTCTCGTAGGTGGTGACGCCTTCAAAGAGCGATGGCAACAGCGTCGCCAAAGACGGTTGCTGTTGAAAGGATTCGTGCATTCGCTCGAACAAAAGTCTGGCAAATTCGTTGGGGTCCTGTTGTTCATCGTGCTCGAGACCCAATGCTGTCGAAAAGTCGATTGTTGTTACGGTTTTTTTAGATCCTTCCACCATCTGGGCCAGCAACGACTGCAGGTTGGTCAATACAGCGTTCATTACCCCAGCGTGGTTGTCGCCCTTGTCCTCTTGTGATCGCCACGAGAACAATCCGGCCAAGAATGCCTGGTTCTGCGCCAGACATTGTAGCTGTGAGTTCAAGTAGCATGTGGCCCCGAGATTGGACAAACCAACGGGTTGGGCAATTTTGATGGTTCCACCGAGGCTTGTCGTGTCGTCGTCGTCTTTCATTCTGGGCTCTTCTTGATCGACAGGGTTCTGGAATATCAAGCTTTGTTGCCAGTCATTGTAAATCTTGAGCAATCCATCAACGGACAACTCATGAGTCTTTTGGTCTGTGTGAGGTAGGCTGCTGAGCAAAAAGACAAGATACTCTTGAATGGTTTCTGTTTGTACTGTAATGGAGGGTCGCAATGCTTGCAGCAACTTGGTAGCTTCTGGTCCATATTCGACGTTGGTGTCAACGTCAACGGCAGGGTCATCATCAATTGCAGCTGGTTTCGCGTCGTCATTCGCCACCTTTTTGGCGTCCACAGCAGCACTCTCCACATCCATAGAATCGTCATCCGAGTCCTGCACCTCGACCACTTCTCCGTTGGCGGGTCTAGTAGCTGTAGGGGGTCTTGGCTTTTTGGCTGGCTGTGGCATGCCCAGAATTCTGGGCTTTGGCGCATTCTTGTCCTTGTTCTCTTGATCTTTTTGCGCTTGCCACAGTTCCTCCGCGTTCTTTCGTTGTTGCAGCTTCTCTTGCAAGATTTGCTCCGCCTTTTCTTGCCAGATTGTATTGAAGACGCCCCCCATACTGCAGGTACAGTAGGGATTGTAGTCGCAGGGAACCGTCACGCCCATGGGTCGCTGTGCCAATGGAGGTGGTTGTAGCTGTTCTTCGTCGCTGTTTGCTTTTCGTTTCTTGCTCGTCTTGCGTTTGGCAGCTTGTCGATCTTTTTTGATGCCTTCTTCGGTCCATGCCAATGCAGACGGACAATTGCAACGGAGCGTCTCTTCTACCCAGGCGTCGGCTTGGTCGGCGGGTTCTCCCTTGTTGCGATTGAGAATGTGCTCCATTCGATCTTGGAATCGTTTGGAATTGGCTTGTTCCTTTTCCAGACAAGCCTTCCACGGATTCTTGACCTTGGCATCATCATCATTGGTGGCATCAAATATCATTCCTCGGTACGGATCAATGGTCAATTCATATTCGGCTTGTTCGATCAACTCGTCCAGTTTCTCTTCTAGTACAGAGCGACTGCGTTGATTCTTTTTACCGTTGCTGCTCTTGGTTTCGTCCTTTTTGGTCGTCGATCCAGCCACGCCACTGCGAGTGCTCCGTGTCGTATTGTTACTGTTGTCGCTCTTGCTGCTGCCAGACGACTTGGTGGCTCGATAGCGAGTGAGTTTGAATGTGCTGACTACTGGTGGTTCGTATCCTCCCGTCATGGCTCCACTCGCGTGTTCCACCACATGGTTGTCATCGTCCACCGATGCGAACATTTCTTGGCCGTCGCTTGCGAAATTGTAGTTGAGATCGTCTTGGTAATCGTCCAAGTCGTCCTTGCGGTTCTTCTTGCGTTTGGGTGGCGGTGATGGACTGGTACAATCCACGGCTTCGTCATTGTCACGATTGGGATCTAGAATGGGAGACGTGTCACCCACGGCGTCTGCCACCCCGGCAAACAACTCACGCTTGGGGCCATCACGGCGGTTCCTTCTCGGCGATCGCTTGCCACCGCCGGCCATGGTGACAAAGATTCTTCCGTCTGTCTACAAACAAAACAACTACTCACTCTTCTGGCGCCGTCACTTCACAATGACAACTCTAGCTATCCGCTCGACTAGGGAACAAAGGGCGCTCGCTTTATGTAAGCAGGCAGGCAGAGATCAGTACTAGATAGTCCGGTCAACACCAACAACAAAGACAACACAAGGCAATCACTCCACTGTCTTTCCATCAAAGTTTTTGGCTGTCGTCAGGATGTGGGCGGCAATTTTTGACGCAACCAGAACCCTAAGCCCAAGCCTGACTTTCAAGCCTGACTTTCGCGCCAACACAAGCATTAGGAACTCAATCTTCATCTAAGTCTATGGTACCGCACGTTACCGTACCCTTTAGATCTCGGACACTTAGCAAAGGGAAAAACACAACCACCTGCTTCTGTCTGCCCCCAAGACTCTCCTCCCACAAACCTACCAGTGCCATTCATTGAACAAGCCTCCCTTGCCACAACCCATGACCAAGACCGTCACCAAGGAATGTGGAAACAGTTCACTACAAAGCACAGGTTGTATAATCTTTGTAGTGCTTTGATGCCCCCTTCCAATCTCACGTCATCTACTCACGTCAACTTGGATCCTTTCTTTGGTCTAGGTTGCCTTTGCTCATGGCTTCCTGCACTGTACCCAGTACCCATCCACTCAAACACCATCATCTCCTGGACCAGCCAACTTTCAGACAGCAGACACCCTGCTTCGGTCTTTCTCCCATGACCTTGTATAAGAATTTTCACTGCTTCTCTCTCCTGCTCAAATTCTTCAAAGCCATAGTCCCATCTTGATGGTCCACTACTCTCAAGCTTTGAATCCATCTGCAGGAGTTTCTATTATGTAGCCACTACGGTATGTCTCAGGCCTCTTGGTCCCTTTGCTTCTGGCTTCCAATGTTCTGGCTGGTAACACATGAACATGCCCCAGGTGCTACCCTTGGACCATTAGTCTAGCTAGTTAGTTACAGTAGACCCTTTTCCATAATATTATCTGCAAGCCAGTGTCTAGTTAGCTTGGACGGGGGTTTTAGGTTGGTCGGGGGGGGGGTTAAGCTACTATTTTAAAAAGTATAAAGTACCCTACTCCAACTCTTTACTTTTACCACCCAGATGACCCTAATTCATTATCATATTTTTATTTTTATCGGCGAAAGATCGGGTCACTGTTCTTCCTCATTTTGGATTTGGCTTGAGAGAGATCCGAGGTCAACACAAACCAAAGAGAGATGACGACAGTAAGACGAATAGGCAGAGAAAGGATGGTTTGTCCAGGAATAACGTTGGGATTGGTTATCGTTTGCTTGCTGCAGTTTGGATTGCTTCTAACATACATCGTGAGAGACAGTGGCATGATCCCTGTGATTTCGAGTCTGCCAACGCCGACAAAATGTCCACCCACCAAAAACACTACGACCACTACTGCGTCCTCGGCCAAACAGGATTCATCGTATGATTGCGACAACTTGTCATCGTCCGTACTGATAGCTATCAAATCGGGTGGAACCGATCAAAAGTACCGTCATCGCCGTCAGAAATGGCGCGAGTCTGACAAATGTGGCAAGGCGTATGCTCAAGCCAACATTCCCTACAAGTTCATGATTGGATTACCACTGGAGAAGCCACTCAACCCCACATCGCACAATCAAGCCGCCGCCGATACCCAGCAAGAAATTATCGATACCAAGGCCCTCCAAACGGAGTTTCGCGCACACGGCGATGTCGAAATCATGCCACTCCGAGATGTCTACACGGAAATGCATCTCAAGACCTTTCGAATTCTCGAATGGGGCGTCCACCAATCGTACACGCATCACCCCAATCTCAAATTACTCGTTTTGCACGATGATGAATACTGCGTCGATCTCAAGGCATTGCAAGCGCTCTGCCGCAAAACGGCCGAACAACCACAACCCGCCCAAATGTACGGAGGACCCTACTTTTGGTCCAAACCCGGCTACGAGATTCAAAAAGCATTTGACCAATCGTTTAGTCCGTACTTTTCGGGATGGCTGTACGTTCTCAGTGTACCACTCGCCCAAGAGATTGTGGAAGATGTCGACACGAAGTTTGCAGGAATATATGCCTCGCATTCGGAGGATTTGCAAGTGGGACGATGGGTCAAGAAACAACATCAACGCAAGGATACCCCGCCGGTGCAGGTGGAAGTGGAAAAGACACTCATAGTTGCGGCGTAGAACAGAAAAAGAAAAAAGGCAGTTAGTCAAAACGCGACAACAATAAAGAACGCGACAATGGTGTCCGAATCAAATCATTTCATGGATACCGCCCCACAAAACCCCACGTCTGCCTTTTTCTTTTCGGTCCATCGGACTCTTGATTTCATGGATACCGCCCCACAAACCCAAAGTCTGTCTGGGTTTTCCTTGCTTTCCATCGGACTCTTGCGGCCAGCAATTGAAGTTTCTTGCTTGCTTGTTGGATTGATGGCCAAAAATTCTGACGAGTAGCAATCCATGAATATGTGGCATATGGGGTGATCGGATGGTCTCAAGAGACGATGATCAATTATTGGTTACCCACCTATCCGTTTAGTACGTATGGTAGCGTCGCAAAAGGCGGCGGCAATGCTCTCCTGCGAAACCATTTATTTGCCATGGACATTCCGAACACGCCTCACTTCAGACAGCAATTTTCCGTTGCCAATTATTGGTGGCGGCATAGCATTCAGCTGCGCACCCAATTTGTGCGACTTCTACTGAACAAGACGCCCCACAAAGATATTTCGGTGCTGAATGAGGAATCGCATTACAAACCAGCAAGTTTTTACAAAAAGATATAGCTAGCAGCTAGCTAGAAGTGACGATATAGGAACGCACGCCCTATTATTCATTTGAGGATCCTGCACCTCTAGCTAGCCACCCGTCTATTCTACTAGCCGTAATTGCTCCTTCAAATGGATCTGGGCATCCATTCTCAAGTGCCCATTTAAGAATCCCGTAATTATCATTTTGAAGGGCAGCATGGCATGTTTTTGAATCCCAAGGGCATCCATTCGCCCGGGCCCACTTCAAAATTTCAAACTGGCCCCTTTTAGCAGCTTCAGCACAAGTATCTTCATCCCAAGGACATCCATTTTCATGAGCCCACTTCAGAGTTTCCCAATTACCTGCCATCGCAGCCAAGGCACATGTGCTTGCATCCCATGGACAGTTATTGTCCCTCAACCATTTCAGCACGGCCAATTGGCCACACACAGCAGCAGAGCTGCACGCCTTTGTATCCCATGGACAGCCGTTTTCATGAGCAAATTGCAAAATTTCCAGATTTCCAGAAGCCGCTGCTCCTGCACATGTGTAGGCATTCCAAGGGCACCCATTGTCATGTGCCCATTTGACAATTTCTAAATGGCCTCCTTCAGCAGCAGCTGAGCATGTACCTTCATCCCAGGGGCAGCCATTCTCGTGGGCCCATTTCAGACAGTGTAGTTGGCCATCTCTAGCAGCCTCAGAGCATGTGAATGAATCCCATGTACATCCATTTGCTCTTGCCCATTTCATTATATCCAAATGACCTTCAGATGCAGCACTGGGACAAACCAAAAAATCCATCTCTTGTCCATTTTCAACAGTCCAAATCAAAATATCAAGATGGCCACCTTGTGCCGCTGCACTGCAAGTCTGCTCATCCCATGGACAGCCATTCTTGACAGCCCATTTCAATAATTTAAAATGGCCATGTTGAGCCGCAAAATTGCATGTCAACCTGTCCCAGGGACAATCTTTCTTGCGCAACCACTTCAGAATTCTTTTGTGACCACCTATAGCTGCAGCTTGGCATGTTTCCTCACTGATAGAGCAACCATTCCGATACAGCCACTTGAGGATATCAAGGTGACCAGCTCTAGCAGCGGCAGCAGCACAGGTATCAGAATCCAATTCAAAGCCTTCGTTAACATGGATCCAATGCATCACTGGAAGAGTGCCATTTCTGGCAATCACTGTACAAACTTGATTCCATGCCAACGTGTCATGAATGTTCCAGTGCTGGTTGTACCAGTATTGAGCACATGGCACATTGTAGAATGCAGCCCGGTAGTATGTGTGAGTACTGGTGGCTGCTACCCAATCTATCCTATTCCCATCCGTTACCAATGAAGGCGAATCAGCGTCGATTGTGCGTACCAACGGAGGATCCTTGACGGTATCACCATATTCCTTGTAGAGACTATTGAGTTTCTTGTTGACAGCTCCTACAAACGCATAGTTCCCCATACCGACGAAGGGGAGGATTTCATTCACCCAGATCTCTGTTTGATTCAAGAACTCATCAATAGCAGGAGAGGGTTTCTGCTTTTTCCTTGCAGGTTCAGGAGGAGAGCTAACCGTAGAAGACGACATGACGGTAGTTCTGCCAAAGAAGAGAAGTTTTCGGAGTTACTGCCGGTCTACCAGCCAGAGGATGGTGCTTTTTGTGACAGCCAATGCTTCCAGAGCTTGTGATCGCCGTTGATAACAGGGAGGGCGTCCACCGTAAAGCACTCGTTTCTCATCTTGCTTGCTTGGGGTCGAAGGGGTCTCGGGGGGAGGACAGCACTGGGAAATTTACTAATTGGTAGTTGCGGTAAACCTCAACTTTATATAAACCTGTTTTGCCGCATCTACCTCAGATTCATATGCCCCCTGGGTCGTCTCCGTTTCCAGTACTAGTTTAACTTGTCTACTAATACAGGATAATGGTGAATAGAATCGAATGAATCATGTGGCTTATATTTAGGGTTTAGGTTTTGCAATTTTGAAGTCAACGTGTGTTAAGTGGAGGGTTGGCTCGCTTCGCTGGGAGCTTGGTGTTTTTTTTCCTTTTTCCCGCTCTTCGTCGAACTGGTCTGGTGTGAGTCTCGGTTGAGATCGCAAATATGGCTCGGGGTTGAGCCACGTCATTCACCCGGCAGCTTTCTCCCCTCTCTCTCCATAATAAGTGGTCAATATTACTGGACTATTTTCGAAGAGGTGACACCTCTTGTGCTCGTGACCGTTTGCTGTTCGAATACAGGTGGACGGACGGGAGGCGAGGATGATGTTATTGGTCTGACATTGGAACTTGGGTAAATGGTATGCGGGACATAAGTATGGGAGGTCGCTGTCCGAGTATCGAGATTAACGTGAGGCATCTCGGTGGCGTATTTATACCGGGAAAGCTAACCGTGTGGGAGACTCTC